ATTTGCAGTTAAACGTTATTAGTTGAAAAATATACATTAAAAATATAAAAATATTTTTTTGAACAAATATTTTTTTTTCTAAAACATGTAATAATATGAAACCGAGTGAATACTTGTTTTTGAACAAAAAAAAAAAAGAGAGAATACTTGTTTTCAATTAACTATGATCATGACTACCACACAGACAAACATTTATGTCATATGATGACACTCTCATCATCACAAACATCATTATATTTATCAATAAGGCTTACCATTATTTTATTTCCTGGTCATTAAGTAGTTCAACGACAAAATTCATGCGGTCGACTCATGCGTTAGGATAGGAAAATCTGAAAGAAGTTTGAATTCATTACTTTCTTTTCTAACAAAAGAAGTTTGAATTCAATGCAGCCGTTTTATTTGGCTTTCATTAGTTAACTTGATAAGTAATGCTTAAAAGTATTGTAAAAATATAAACAAAACAAAAAGTGATAAAGTAAAAGGTTTAAAAGAGTGCAACAAGCGTGACTCTGCCTTTAAGACCATTAAGATGGTGTAATCATTTTCACTCGTTATTCGACAACAATTAGAAGGATAGATTTGCATATCATTTCTACTTAAGACATTATTCTTTTATAATCACATCTCATAAAATAAAGTCAAATCGTGAAAATACTTAATAAATACCTAGAAAATTAGTACTAGTATTAAAGTTTGACTAGTGTAGATGGTAATTCTATAAGGTTGTTGCATAGTATCTTGAAAATATAATGTTCCATTACTTTTCAACGAGACTCCGTATAACTTTTTTTTGACTAGTTCAAATCCACTCAGGACGTAACAATTTAATCATTTTTAAAATTAGAACAATTGATTGAATTAAGAAAAAGAAGGAAATACCTATACGCAGTTTTAAAAACATGAATAAAATATTTATTATTAGTGGATTTTGTTCTCTTGATATTTGTTTGTATACTAATCAAGAGGAAGATATGTCCATTCTAAAGTCATGAATATCCTAAAAAAAAATCTCAAGTGATAGTTTGATATAACCTTTGACTAAGAATGTTAATGTATATTGACATAATCATTACTAGTGTGACTATATTTTATCATATTTCTTAGATTTGATCATTTGCTTGGGTAGAGAGAGTTACAAGAGGGGGACAAAGAAGCAAAGTTTGCTTGGGTTGGCTGCATATTCCCCCCCTTAAACACATAAACCCTACTTATTCCCCCCTAAACTACTAAGCTCTTTCCTAACCTACCCAAACATATATTTTCTCTTCATATTTCTCCCTAAACTTTTTAAACCCCCCTTTCTAATTGAATTCTCTAATCGTGATTAATGAATTAAAAATTGCGTTTAGAAAATAGCGATTACCCAATTAAAATTAACCCACCCGACATTTTTAAAAAATCATTCCATTATTAATCCCAAATTAATTGGAGCTTAGGGTTTTTTTATATTTTTTTACGACACAGAAACAAAGAGAGAGAGAGGACAGAAACGACGCCAGAGAGAGAGAGAGAGAGGGGAGGACAGAAACGACGCCAGAGAGAGAGAGAGAGAGAGAGAGAGAGAGAGAGAGAGAGAGGGGATAAACAAAACAAAGAAACAAAGAAGATGACCCAGAAAGAGAGAGAGACAGAAACAAACTCAAACTCAGACAAACTCAAACTAAGACATAGAAGTCATTCTTCTCTGTTTCAGTAATGGTATCAACACTTTGGACTTCACTTTTTTCATCTCTGTAAAAAAAATTCAAACTAAAACTCAGACATAAAACAAATATGAAGTCTAAGTTAAACAAGCTTGAAAATTCTCCAAACCTAACAACAATAGACCCTTCATGGTTCTTCAATGTCTTTCTCTCCTCTGCATTCTTTTTTTTTTCAACTCTTATGCATTCTCTTCTCTCATTCCGTCTCTCTCTCTTTTCTGTTCCCGTCATCTTTCTCTATCTCGTTGTTACTGGGTCATCTTCTTCGTTTCTCTCTCTCTCTCTCTCTCTCTCTCTCTTTGTTTCTGTCTCTCTGTCTCTCTGGTCGTTTCTCTCTCTCTCTCTCTCTGGCGTCGTTTCTGTCCCTCTCTCTCTCTCTCTTTTTTTCTGTGTCGTAAAAAAAATTAATTGGGCAATCGCTATTTTCTAAACGCAATTTTTGATTCATTAATCATGACTAGTATATCCAATTAGAGAGGGGGGTTTAAAAAGTTTGGGGGGACATATGAAGAGCAAATATATATTTGGGTGGGTTAAAAAAGAACTTAATAGTTTAGGGGGGAATAAGTAGGGTTTATGTGTTTAGAGGGGGGAATATGCAGCCAACCCTAATAATTATTTTACTTAAAAAAATAATAATTGTTTTGCCCTCTCCTAGTCACACACTCATGATTGATTTTTTATTTATTTATTTAATAAATAAATAACATCCTTCTCTCTCTCCCAACCTCTCTATATTAATCATTCTCTTCCTCACTTCCCATTCATCATCTCTCTTCTATCTCTTTCAATAGAAAAGCAGAAAACTTTAGTGCCAAAAGTCTCTTTTCTTTGTTCTTCCTGAGAAAATTTATCAGCAAGATGATGTTGGAGAAAGACGATCTGGGTCTGAGCTTAGGCTTGAATCTTCCCAAGAAACAAATGAATCTCAAATCTAACCCATCTGTTTCTCTTACTCCTTCTTTTGATTTACTTCGAAGATCTTCCTTCAACGAGAGTTTCAACTCTTCAGGTACACGTCATAGTTTTCTCTTACACATATTTTCCCCCGAGAAAAAAAAACAGAGCTTTCATTTCAAAGGTCTCACCTTTTTTCAATCTGATGCATGCAGTTCCATACTCAGATTCAAGTCGTGTAGAGACAAGAACCTTCATCCGTGGAATCGACGTGAACCAACCACCGTCTACGGCGGAATACGGCGACGAAGACGCCGGAGTATCTTCTCCGAACAGTACAGTCTCAAGCTCCACCGGGAAAAGAAGCGAGAGAGAAGAGGAAACAGATCCTCAAGGGTCAAGAGGATTAATCAGTGACGATGAAGACGGTGATAACTCGAGGAAGAAGCTTAGACTCTCCAAAGACCAATCTGCTATTCTCGAAGAGACTTTCAAGGATCACAGTACTCTTAACCCGAAGCAGAAACAAGCTTTGGCTAAGCAGTTAGGGTTAAGAGCAAGACAAGTTGAAGTTTGGTTTCAGAACAGACGAGCAAGGTATAAAAGAAAAAAACACAACACTTAAATAAAAAAAAAAGACAGAGATCTTGATCTCTCTTTGTTTTTTTACTTATAAGGGTATTTTGGTAATTTAATCAGGACAAAGCTGAAGCAGACGGAGGTTGACTGCGAGTACTTACGGCGATGCTGTGAGAATCTAACGGAAGATAACCGTCGGCTACAGAAAGAAGTAACGGAGCTGAGGTCGCTTAAGCTCTCTCCTCAGTTCTACATGCACATGAACCCACCCACCACATTGACCATGTGCCCTTCATGTGAACACGTGACGGTCCCACCACCACCACAACCACCTCATGCTGCTGCGTCAGGACACCAGCAGAGGTCGTTGCCGGTCAATCCGTGGGCTCCTGCTACGAGGGTTTCTCACGGCTTGGCGTTTGACGCGTTTCGTCCTCGGTCCTAGTCTTCAGTTTTGCAACCAGAGGACATTCTGGTCATTTTACTCAGTTTCTTTGGGGACCAGATGCATGTAGTTGTTGTTAACATGAAGTATGTACTATTTTTAGAAAAAATACATTAATATTTTCTCCCTTAGAGACTATCATGTTCATGCTAACAAGTGACAGCAAGTATTTACAGCCAATTATTCGGTATTTATTACTTTTAAATGCTTTATTTCTTTTGGTATTGCAATAAATAATAATACGTCAAAAGAAAAGATTGCAGTAAATAATATATTTGAACACTTACAATAGTTTGAAAGCCATTACTCATAAAAAAAAGAACACTTAGAATAGTTAACTTTTTAAGTTAACCAGTGTGTAGCCAGAAACCAAAAAGTATGATTGCTACTGGCATTTTATTAAAATATAAAATTGTCAAAATTTCTAATAGTTTTTCAGCCAACTCTTGTTTGTTAGTGATTAAAATGAAAAACTTTGTGACAAAAAAAAAATTACAAACTTTTCTATACAATTACTATATTGTTTGCGCCTAAACATGTATATACTGGTAATTTTCTTACGACACAGTTGAAGAGGACATTACCATATTGTTGTTGATCCCAACAAAACACAAGGTCATATTCATACTACTTGTTCCTGAATATTAAGTATCCACCTAATATAGGCCTTATGAACATGAAGGATGGGCTAATGGGCCGCTGTTTATTCAACCACTTGAGCAAATTCTAAATGTTACCATGACACAAACAACAACAAAAAAGGTATGTTCACCTCCAGGCAGAAGGGAGGTACGTGATGTCTAAACAATCGAAATGAAGACCACCTCTCCCCATTTAACTAAAAGTCAATATAATTGCCTCCGAGATGCAAAGGAGACGTCAAATGATTTGGAGCAAAAGCTTTTCTAAAGACTTTGGAATGGCTTGAGGGCTGAGGCAATTGCTTGCCTTGATAAGTTGATAACTTTGGTTTCTAAAAGTGATTTAACCATCTTGATGCCATCAGTTGGATGGCCACAAGACTGGCCTAGGCTGCACACCTATATAAAAGAGATCTTAAACAAAGGAAATGGCTACAACTATCCTTGATCCTTCGCATTTTGGGGACGCCAAGCAAACAAGTTTGCTGACAAACCATTACTAAACAAGCAAACAAAAGAGATCTTAAACAAAGGAGATGGCTACAACTGTCCTTGATCCTTCGCATTTTGGGGACACCAAGCAAATTTAGGTTGGTTGTAGTTTATCATGCCAATCTTCAAATCTCAAGTTTGACAAGGCCAGTTATTGAGATAGATAACCAAAACACTGTTCTTAACTAGTAGTGAAATATATAACCTGCATGACATTATCTATAGACTATAATCAATCTGGTGGGTATTAATTCACATAAATCTCAGTTCCAATTCCTATATTTCTGCCTGAATATATAATAACACAAACATCTTTAACAACCTTCCTGTTATTATTCAAATATTTAATACATTCTACTTAGAAGAATTTGCAGAGATCTTAATAGTAGACCTCTTGATGGATTCAATTCTTTGTAACCTAATTTGTTCTCTGAACTTTGCAATGAACTCATCAGCCTTCTTGTCCACGTCACTGGTGTTCCCACAAACTCCCTCTTCCTCTTCTATCTTCTTTTCCTCCATCTCGCTGTGATCATCAACTCCGTGGACTTCAGCTTCTCTTCTTCCATGCTCTGCATCCTCCGATTCTTCAGCTGCCTTGCTTCCCAAGAAATCATTCTTCTCAGTGTCTTCTTTAATAACCCTATGTTCCTTGGAGTCCACGACTGGATCAGACCACCACACCTTCTTAGAAGAGTTTCTTTTCGCAGAACGGTCGGAATATTTTCTCCGTTCGCTGCTTACTTTAGGCGACTTATAGTAGTCTATCGGAGGTGGTGGTGGCGGAGGCGGCGGAGGATAAAACTCGCCGCCGGAAAACTTCTTCTTCTGAACTGATTCTCTGTAAACTCCGGGAGAATGATCCTTTCTCGAGTTGTAAAACGCCGGTAAAGGCGGCGGAGGCGGAGGAGAAGGAGGTGACGGTGAAGGGCGAATCTCCTGCTTCCTCACTTTGTCTTCAACCGGTTTCGCTCCCTGCTCAGTTGTGAGCTTAGGTAAACGCGGAGAAGAAGAGGAAGAAGATGAAGTCAGATTCGCTGGATTCTTGATCAACGGCTGAGATTCAACCTCCGTTGAAGATGACGATGATCGGGACCTCCATGGGATTGGAGAAGGAAGGACATCACCGTTATCATCATCATCATCATCACCGAGACTCTTGAGTAGCTCTCTCTTGGATCTAACTTTCTCCCATGTGGAGTGATCAGAGACACGAGAGTAGTTGAAGCTACGAACAGGCAAGAGCAGAGGCTTTTCTCTAACCACTGAACTAACACGATCAACGAACCTAGTCTCGTTGTCTCTAGAAAGAACAACCTCGGGAGTTTTCATCTGGTACTTGTTCCTCCATGTCTGAAATTTCTGAAATTTACGGTTGTTGTCGCTGGAGGAATCATCGGACGGTTCAGATTCACTCTCATGATTACCCACGTTAAAAACAGAGGATACTTCAAGAAGCTTAGGAACATAGGTATTGTTATGATCGTTGTTATTGCTTGATCCGCCACCGTCGTAGTTCCGGCGACTGAAGAGGCCGTAGGAGACGGCGATGCCCACGAAGATAAGGTGGAGAAGCTCGAGGAGTCTGGTTTGGTTAGCGAGCTCTGGTGTCTGGGAGAGGAAGACAGGGACGATGGAGCAGAACACGGCGAGGATTAGGGCTTTGAAGATGAAGCGAGAGTAGAAATTTCTAGGGTTTTGATCTTCTTTGTTACCCAATTGGGTTGGTTTCTTGGAGTTTCTTCTTTCCACCATTGGAGAGAAAGTTAAGTGTTTTGTTGTAAAGGTTCTTTAAAATGAAGAGAAAATAAAAGTTGGTGGAAGTGCTCTAAGACTTAGAGGTTAAGTTCTGTTTTTTTTTTTTTTTTTTTTTTTTGGTTTTGAAATCCAAAATATGAAATCCAAGTTGATGGGTGAGTTCACTACCAACTTTTCTTTTTGGTTTCTAATACTATTCTAACATGCAAGCACAAGTTATTTAGGGAATATATAATTAACAGAGAAATACGACCAACAGCAGCCGATAATCTTTGTCGGCTAATGCAATAAAGGTAGCAGATTATTAAAGTTGTTATCTTTAAAGAGGGTAATTAGTTTGATAATACATAAAATAATATAGAGAATATTACAGAGAGGTCGCGTAGGCATATGACCCCGGAAGAATCTTTATTCCTTTCTTTTGGTCTGCTAACGCTAAAGCTTTTTTCTTACGCAGTACCCGTCTGAAAACATAGAAATGATAGTCCATTTTCAAAATAGAATATGAGAGAATTAGTAACAAAATCACAATACATAAGTAATGGTTTTTAGTAAATATTTTATTTAGATAGATAGTCCTAGTTTATTTTGCTTCAGATTTTATGGTTAGTTCAGAATCACTGAAGTAAATCTGACACGTCAAATTGTAAAAAGAGTCTAATCATCACCACATCATTCTGAGACCACTTTGATGGGGCCGGTGGATCACTGGTCGGCTATTACTTTATATACTTCAAATTCAAGAGATAATATATTTATATGTTTAGTTATAATACTTTTCTATGCACAGTTGCATGACAAAGTATTAGATCCATCCACACTGAAGATAACACTTCTGCAGCTAATAGAGATGACGTATGACTTAGTTTAACTTACGAAACGAACTTCATTTTTTTCTTTTTGAATTATACAGAAGTATACTGGAATCACAGAAGTGATACATACTAATCACATGTTATTACGTGTCGGTCTGTCCAATGACAATGCCGAAATGTTAATTCTCCAGAGTAGTTGGAATCGATTCGAATGCAGTGGCGGTACAAAACGAACTTCAACTTAACGTTTGAATTAATTCCAGCAGCTTAAATCATATATACGCTCAAAGTAAAACCATTCTTTTTAAGTTACAGCGATTTCCGCTTCCCAAATATTAACTGACAAACGGATTTCTTTCTTTGAACTACAAAGTGAAGTACTGCTTTATCGTTGTCTAGAAGGTTTAAGAACATAACTTACTGTCTGCGGCTATAAGTTTTCATTACAGTCATTTGATTATAGTCTGCCAGGAGTAATTTTTTCCTCGGTGTCCAGGTTCATGAGTGTGAAAGCTGAGGAGATTGATACTCATAATTTGAAAGCCAGTTTCTGACATCAGGAGGCAATGATAAAAGGAGATTAAGCTCTGGCAATAAGCTAATCTACGTTGTGTATCAAAATAAATAAAAATCTACTGACTAAACATGAAGGCCTACTAAATAAAATTCAGGAGTTGAGTAGCTATAACCTTTACAGAAGCGACAAGTTCTTGCTCAAAGAAGCTAAGGAAAAACACCATTCTTATCAATCATTGCTTGCGTCTCCTTTACACATTCACTCTCTCCAGAACCGAAATTCAAGACCAAGACTTGTATTCAGCATGGGAGAATTCATAAACATTGCTTGATAACCACTTACCTATATTAGGAGGTTCTGAGAAGCCTAAGTGGAGGAAACAAGATTAATTGGGGTTACAATTTAATCAATCAACAGCTAGACTTTCCATGTTCCCCAATATGTTCACAAAAATGAATAAGTTAAGCAAGAGGGTAACTTGAGACCCTAAATATAATGATATTGTACACTAAGAAAAATATATAAAATAAGAAAAAAGCAAAAAATACTTAATGTCACCAATTTATTTCGAGAATATTTTTTTTTTAAATTAACTGATAAAAACTGCGCATAATCCAAATTACAATTGAAAATGAAATCTTTTTATTACTTTGCTTCGTTGTCATTGACATCCTCGGCAACATCCTCCACATACTCCTCGTTTAGGTCGAAGTCACGATCCACATTGTTCCCATCGTTACGGTTTTGGTCGTTTTGGTCATTGCCACGATCCACATTATTACTGCTAGCACCCACCACATCGTTATTGTTTAGTTCAATGCCACGAGCCACACTATTCTTGTTAACATCCATCGTTCCATTACTGTTTAGGTCAATGCCACGACCCAAACAATTCTTGTCAGCATCCATCGTTTCATTATTTAGGTCAATGCCACCATTCAGACTGTTATCGTTAGCATCCATCGCAATGTTCCTGTTTAGGTCAATGTCACGATCCACACGGTTATTGTTGTTGGTGTTGTCTGAGTCATCTTTGATACCCTCGATTATTAGATTGCAGTTGTTGATGGTGACATTGGTTAGAAGCTTATAGCTCCACAGTTTGAGCAAAAAGCGTCTCCAGCACCTGAATGTTTTTGAAACACAAATGTTGTTATTGTCTTTAAAATTTTATTTGTAGTATGTCTATATATATATTTGAGAGAAAGTTACCAGTAGAGTGGTTTGGAATCGAGCAACTCTTTCTTGTGAGACTTTGAAAACGCTTCACATGCCAAAGGAACATCACCGTCGGCGAAAACCCTAAAATCAAGATCATTTAAATTTGGTTAGAGCAAAACGGTCCTCAAAAGAAATCATTAAGACATGCATGTAATCTAGGGACATATATTCTGGTGGACTAATCTAATTCAAGATTCTGTTCAATATCAGATCACTTATACTATATTTATCATGCATCTCACATTCAAGTGTAAGAAAAGTACGTAGCTACCTTTGCTTTCTTACAAATGAGTTCCATAGAAGCATGAGTATCTTTCCATCCAGGCTCTTCTCCTCATGTTTAAAATGCGTCTGCATAATTTTAAAGTTTTCAAAAGCCATTAGCACGTTACGTCCTATACAATAATCTTGTTCGTCGTTATTTAATGAATGCGAGAAGAAATCATGGAGAACCTGGTCTTCTTCGATATTTAAAATGTAATAATCATGGAGAACCTGGTGTTCTTGATCAGGCTTTACTTCCTCGAGTGCCTTTTGCTTTGTCACAGAAACATGTAATTTTCGGTTAGAGACATTATAACAGTGACAACATGGATGCGTGGATACAAACAGAAGCATGCTTATGATTTTGAATGAGAACAATCAAACCATAGTATCGTGGACCAAGTATACTTTGATAAGATATCATAATGTGAAATACAAAGAATATGCAAAAAAAGTCGGTGAAGGAACTGAGTGAAACACCTGACTTGTCTCGAGAAGTGAGATGCTGGAAAAAAAAAATTCTCAGTCAATACGGAGTATAGTAAAAAACTTAATCATAATAGCAAGAACAGTGGGACAAACTCTCTAGCCTCTGATGACCCATCAGATAACTTCCTTGTCTTAGCAGCAGGACCCTCGTATTTGTTAGCATCAGAGTCAGGAGACTGATCTATGTCTGGTACATTCCTTTTTGTCACAGGATTTCCTAAACATTTGTACAAATAATCGAGAAAACAAGACACTATATCAAGTGCAAAGCCAAAAGGAATACCAACAGGAAGAAGAAATATATTACCTTTGTTCAGCAGGGAGGATCCATTTTCAAGGTCATCGGCTAAAGGGGGTAGTTCCCTTGGTGAAATGGTAACATTGGCATCATGCTGTTCTTGATGATTTTCTTCGTCCTGGTCCAAGGCATTAAGTCTTGGAGAGCCATTAATTGCTGTCTGGTTTTCTTTTGAAGTCTGCAATTCGAAAGACCCTTTTTAACTATCTATTAAAGATATAGAAAACAAGAGAATCCCATATAAACTACATACCATGGAGTAGAATTCAAGTAAATCACGAAATTGATTGAAATGAAGTTTCACAGCCTGCACAAGACACAATATCAATAATAGATTGTAAAATGAGCGAGAAGATAAACAAAACACACAAAATATGGAGCTGTGAAGAGAAAGGGGAGACCTGATAGAGTAGGATGCGTAGGAGAAGAAGAGAGCAAGAGATATATATATATAGGACGGGGGAGCGGGGAGGATGAGGATGAATGACAGCATATCATCATGCAGTATGCAAAGTCATATTTTACCACAAAAAAAAGTATGCAAAGTCATTGTTTCCTTGTGATACTTACTTCTCTTAGAGATTTTATTCCACTGTATTATGTAGGAACAAACAAACAAACAAGCAAACAAATTATTTTCCTATATACTACAGATTTTTATACCCATTTTCCTATATATCTTTCCTTTTACAATCATCATTTTATTGTACAATGATAGTAACATAGCAAAAGAATATATTTCTTATATTCTACCTTTTATATCTATATTCATAATTATTATAATGTATTACTAGGTGGACAGCACATACGTACCGCATAAATTTGATTAGTAAAAAATATATAAATTTAAATACATAATTGCCAGTTATATAAAATATGGTATATGTAAAAATATAGTAATAGCAAGCGCTTATTATATATGGATTATGTTAATCATGTATGTACTTATTAAAACTTAGTTTATAAATTGATATTAATAATTCTTATTATGTATGTAAATTTATATACAATTTAAGATTTATATAAGATGTTACAACGATATTAGTAGTATGAGAAAAAATAAATATTACATATCAAATCGAACGAACTCATGTTGATTCGATCTGATATGTTAGCCTACAAGTCGAGTGTTAAGCAATTTAACTGAATGTATGTGTATTGCAAATAAAATACGAAGATGAAACTCAGATAAAAAAAGATCAAATAAGATAGATTATGTGAAATATATATATAAGATAGATTTCGATGACTTAATGTATCTCAAATTGTTGTATTAAAATATGTAAATAGAATTGTATTAATCTATTATAATATTTTGAAAATAATAGTATTGATCTCTAATAATATTTTTAAAATCATATATAAATGTTTTGTTTTTGCATTTATTTTTTATATGTGAAATTTCATGATTTGATTATCGGATGGAAGTTTATAGTTTTTATTGAAAACTCATTATCATATGAACATATACTAAAAT